GATTCAAATACAAGGCCCATACAAGGGCTCTGAATACAGCAGCTGATATCAGGCTGACCGTGCCACCGTGGGCTGACACAGACTTGAAAGTAGCGCATGCGCAAAATATGGTTTATAAGAAGAGTTCTGAATAAATAATGAAATTTTACCAAACTTAGATTGTGCTCATTCTTTGCTGAAATTTTATTTCTTATTGTTTTTTATCTTTTGAACTGGGAGAGTATATTTTGAATGTAAATTTTAATTGGTTTTTATTGAATTTGTATGTCTAATTATTAAATTTTATTATAACTTTTTAAATTCAAATTGTATTTTTATACTCTTTAATCAATGGTATATAGGCCTTTTCGAAGCCTTTGTTTCTTTTCTTTTTTTCTGACTTGATTGTGTTATTTCAGATTGTGTTTAAAGACAAATTTCCTGTATACATTTATGTTATATTTGGACAATAAAGATTGATTTGATTTAATTTGACGTATTTGAGATGTACCAAATGAGTGTACCATTCTCCGTTGTTAAAATTTTAGATCCATTGTCAGGGAAACTTCCTTTTTGAATTTATAGGCAGAATAGCTTGAAAAAGTCATCACTGTTTCTATATTTAACTTACAATAAGCTCTGGTAGAGGGTCTAGTATTATTATTATTATGATACAGCCTTTCAAAGGATGCCGACTAATTAAAAACATTTAAGTGGCACATGTGCTCTTGATCCCTTCAGAAAGTTCTTCAAAATAGTGCTTAGCTAATAAGTAACAATTAAGCTTTGGATCTGCATCTGCTTATTAGGAATTGTATAACACCACTTCATTGATTATATATATTTTTTGATATATATGAAATTGATGCCAGGTAATAATATGTTTTTGAGTATCAAATAATAAAAGAGGCCTGCTTTTGTCTAAAAATACATCTTGTTTGTACTTATATTTTAGGCACATCGCATTACTATCAATATGAGAATGCCATTCAGGGAGACGATGAAATCCTAATTGATGTTGAAATTCAATTGGCCGATTATTACTTGTTGGAAAATGAGCAGGAGTTGGAGTTTAATGTCAGTTTTGATTACAGTAAAGATCGTCAAACAACAATTACACAGTTGATTAAGGCAATTGTTACTAGTGTTGAAACACCAGATCTTGTCTATACCCTCAATATACCAGAATATGATCCTATGGAGCTCAACCCAGGGTAAGAATCCATCATTCATGTCATATTTATCGGTATATTAAGAAGGCAGCATGTTGTTATCATTATTATGAGCCTACTTAGAGGTGCTGGTTACCTGTTTTGATGATTGTCTAAAAGTATGGTCAAATGTTTCAAAGTCCCATCAGACCCTAGGCCTACTGAGACTTCTTTAATATCCAAACTACATTTGGCAATTTCTTGTATGTGAAGGAAATACATGGGTACTTGCCTGGTTTATATAGACTGTTGTGTAATGAAATTAGACTCCATGCTAAAATAATTACAGAATACCTGCCAGCCTGATTTAGAGCTTTTAACTTGTTTTAGTTTTTTATTTGCCTATGTTTTTGCAAAATAATTACTTGTGTTTGATTTAGGGATCTTTTGCTTGTCAATTCAACCATTGAGCACAGTACCCTGTCAAGTGCTCATGCATATGGCCTCATCGTCAACTTGATGGTTCCATTCTACATTAAAATTGACGATTCAGTTGAGATTGAAGGGACCTCCATGATAGAAACCGATATGTCTACAAGTGATGGCGTTCAATTTCAAGTAAGGAGTGTTTTTTAGTCAGTTTGTGTTTTTTAATCATTAAAAAAGTCATGCATCAGAAGTTGTCTAACACCATGGCAAATGTATACTGA